CAGTGTTCATGCTATTTATTTTCAATAGGCAAATAGATAGCACTTACTTTGAAATATCCCCTTTATATCAAAGATCCTTTTGTTCATGGTATTTTTAGATGTGATCTGCTGCAGGTAGGGATATTTGAGGAATGCATCAAGAGAACAGGCTGATGTTGGACTAAGGGACCATCTTCATTTATTTAGAAACCTGTTGTAGACAAGGTACACATTCCGTGCTACTCCAGATCACAGAATTAAGGACCAAGGAACAGGGATTGCAGGGGAAAGCCAGGTTCCGGCTCAGCAGAAGAAAGTGGTTTGCTTATGTTGTGGCAGGCTGCCCATCACAGGAAGCACTCAATGACTGCTTGGTGGGGGATGGGGAGCTGGGGTTGGAGTCCAAGAATCCACTTGGTCTAGGATTCCAAGCTATTATGGGCACACGCTAGCAGTCATGCACATACTGGGCATGTACAGTATGTTGGTTCCCCAGCCCTCCCCGGCTCCTCCCCCATGCCCCTCCCCAGTCCTCACCTTGGGAGTGATACATCTATCCACACAGCACATTCCCCAGCCACGCCTCTGGTTGCTGAGGAAATGTGTTCATGAATGGACTGATCCAGCTGTGGCCACACTCTAGGGTCTTAGAGTTCAGATTTTTCTTGGCCTAGCACCTGGGGCCGTGGATCCTGGCTGTCCACTCATTAGCTGTCCCTCATGGGTGGCACTTAGGAAAGTTATCGCACCAGGACTCATGGTGGACTTAGGGTTGAAGGTAGAAAACGAAGACTCCCCCTGGACTTTCCCTCCACTGCCTTCCCCTGTACACTCAGAGAGACCCTTCCTCTGCCTGGCCCACTTTGCAGCGCCCAGATGAGGCTAAAGTGAGCAGCAAAGCAGGCCTGGGAAACATGGCAGGGCACATGGCGGCTCCAGGGACGGCCCAGCCTCCCAGCAGAGGCGTCCTGAGAGAGGGAGAGTGGTCTCAGCTGACCTTCCTGGGCCTCTCTGGAGCCATGACCCTGGCCTTCCTCCTCTGTTCTCCGAATGTAGACCCTGAGAAGGTCTACAAATCTGTCGTGAAGCACTGCTGTAGCAACAGTAGTAATAATCGTGCTGAGTGGTCGTGACAGCAACAGCCAGCTTTTGGTTGACACGGTAATGACCCTATTACATGAGTCAACCTACATCAAATCCTCACAAAAATCCTACAGAATAGATGCCATTAACAGTGCCGTTTTATAGACGAGGAAACTGAGGCCTAGCAGAGTTCAGGGACTTCCCTGAGAATGCACCAGTCTGACTCCAGTGTATAGACTGTCTGTCTGTCTGTCTGTCTACCTACCTACCTGCCTACCTACCTATCTATCTGACAGGCAGAGAGAAAGAGAGATCTCCTGGAACATACAGGGCTGGGCAAGACCAAAACTAGCAGCCAAGAATTCCATTCATGTCTCCCATGCAGTGGGCAGGGTCCCAACTATTTGAGCCATCCCATGCTGCCTCCCAGGGTATGCATTAGCAGGAACTGGACATTGGCAGCAAAGCCAGGACTCAAACCCAGTCTCTCCAATATGAGATGCAAGCGACCCAAGTGGCATCTTAACTGCTGCACCAACCACTCACCCTGGAGGGTGCAGACTCTAGGGCAGTGCTATTGCCTCCATTGCCCTATGTATGAAGAGGAATGCAAACACAGAAAACAGCGTGGTTACCACACTCCCAGGAGCTTCTCCAGCTCCAGAAACAGTCTCTCAGCAGGGCCAGGGAGCAGCCTGCAGCCTGCTGTGTAGATATGCCTTGGCACTTCCCTTTCTTACCCTCCCAGCTGTGTCTGACATAGGTGTTACTGCACGCATTTTGCATAGAGGCCCAGGGACTTGCTCAAGGTCACTGCCTCTGCCATCTGTGTGTGCCCCTCACTGCCATGCCAGAGTGAGCAAAGTTGAACACCCTCACAGACACTAAATTTGTATTTCCTGGCCTCCCCATCCAAAACGGATACACTAATTACTGACCATTTTTTTTAGGAATAGTAATCATCAGGAACACATTTTTAAGTGTTTTCGCCTTCTATTCTGCATACTACTGAAATAAAACATTGATCAAACCCACAGGATGAAGCCCAGTGAGTGTGAGGCTCTGGAAATTAGGAAAAGTTCAGGAAGACATTGCACTAAGCCAAAAAACCCAAAGTGTTGATTTGGGGCTTATTTTTATATGAGATTAAAATATGAATCATTAAAATAGGACGGTATTTCGGGCTCCACATCCCCGTCTTATCAAAGACATCACCATGACTACTAGGTTGGGAGTCCATAAGTTCCAAAACTCCTTCCTGCCCTGAGATGCAGTCATGTACCGTGTTTCTATCTGGTACCCAGCGTTTCCAGGCGTCCAGCTCAGAGCACTTCTGCACTTCCTTGCCCATCTCCATTCAATGAAATTCCCAGGAGACACACTGTCTTCAGCTCTTTGATGTCTGTTGGCTCCTTTCGTCATTAACAGCAAGCAAGGACAGTAAGACCGCCCAAAATGCAAAGGTAGAGGGAGGGACGACGTCGAAGTGAAGATGCACAGTCCCTCAGGAATTGCTTAGACTAGGGTATCCGTGGAACTTACTTTGGTACGGTTGATGCAATGGGGCTTTACGAAAGGAGAGAAATTAATAATGGCACATTTCTCGGGTTCATGCTGAGTTTGAAAGAAAAAATAATATGACAATATCTACAGCCCAAAATATGCAGTTAAGTTGTTAATTAAAGCCTCTAAGAATGGCTAAAATAAGCAATAAAGGCCCATTGTTTGGTACAATTGTTGACTGCATATCTGTGTGGGGGGACAGTCAGAGGCCTGTGATATTTTAGTAATGCACCCCTAATGGATTTTGAGGCACCCACCTGCGTGTGGAACTTGGATCTAAGCCAGAGGCTTGGGACCATACTGCGACAGTTGTTTTACTCATTAACTCCAGGGTGGACACCTCAATACCAAAGATACCAGAACAGAGGGCCTCAGCTCAGAGAAGCCCCCACCATCCCCTGCGAGGGTGACATCTCAAGATGATTTCTAGGAATTATAGATGCTGGAGCCATGCCTGTATGTATTTTGAAAGGAGGGAGGCATCCTAGAGTGTGCCAGTTCCTTATAAAGCATCTTCAGTGTTTAGAGTGTCTGACCTTAGAAATTTTTTTTTTCAATTTTCTCCTCTTTCTGCCTGGGAATGTGGTGAGTTAGAAAGGTATGTTGTCCTCTGTAAGGACTATTTCTATGAAGCATCTATGAGTTGTCATTAAACATTAAAAACACTAATGCTTAATAACTCATAATCCTTGGACTAATCTAAAGCACAAACAAAGCTCTTAAATTTTTAAAACTTAAAATTTAATTTTTATCTGTTAAAAAATTAGGATATTTTGACAAAAATTATAGCAATCAGCTGGCGATTTAGATTTCCGTAGAATCTTGCATATGCCTCTGATGGGCTGTTACTACGCAGCTACTAAGGCAGTTCAGTAATACAGGAAAGTCTTTAAAACATGATACACAGGGAAAGGGGATGCTGAACAAGTCAAGCCTGATTGTAATTTACAGGGAGACTATTAACAGGTTGTCTTTCTGTCTTACTGATGGATTGTAGGTGATTTTTGTTTTATTTCTGGTTTTCTTCACTTTTTAAACTCTTTGTATACCACTAGGAGTCTTCAAAATATTCATGGAAAGTGCGTATTATGAAAAAACTAAACATGAATTTCAATGTTTGTGCCAAAAACCTTTTTAAATTTTTTTTTATTAATTTGAAAGGCAGAGTTATAGAGAAAGGAGGAGAGAGGGAGAGAGAGATCTTCCATCCACTGGTTCACTCCCCAAACAGCCACAATAGCTGAGGCTGGGCCAGGCCAAAGACAGGGACCTAGAGCTTCCTCCAGGTCTCCCACATGGGCCCAGCAGCCCAAACACTTGGGCCATCCTTTTCTGCTTTCCCAGGTGTACTAGCAGGGAGCTGGATTGAAATGGAGCAGCCAGGATTCAAATAAGCATCCATATGGGATGCTGGCATTGCAGGAGGAGGTTTAACCTGGCACACCACAGTGCCAGCCCCTAAACTTACCTTTTAATTGTTTCCCTGTGAACCTTTTAAAGTACCCTTGTATTCATAATTTTTAAAGTTTGATTTATAAAACCATATGACTGGGGTACACATTTGGCCTAGTGATTGAGACACTGGTTAAGATACTTGTAACGGGGGCGGCGCTGTGGTGCAGTGGGTTAAAGCCCTGGCCTGCAGCACTGGCATCCCATGTGAGTGCTGGTTTGAGTCCCGGCTGCTCCACTTCCAATCCAGCTCTCTGCTATCGCTTGGGAGACCAGTGAAGGATGGCCCAGGTCCTTGGGCCCCTGTACCCACATGGGAGACCCAAGAAGAAGCTCCTGGCTCCTGGCTTCGGATCAGCTCAGCTCTGGCCGCTGCCGTCATTTGGGGAGTGAAGCAGCGAATAGAAGACCTTTCTCTCTCTGCCTCTCTCTGTAATTCTTTCAAATAAATAAAATAAATCTTAAAAAAAAAAAAGATACTTGTAACCCATGTTGCAGAACCTGGGTTTGATACCTGCCTCCAGCTCCTGATTCCAAGTTCCTGCTAGTGCACACCCTGGGAGGCAACAGGTGATTAGGTTCCTGCCACTCACAAGGTCGAATGGGATTGCATTCCTGGCTCCATACTTCAGCCTTGATTGAGCCCAACCATTGCAAGCATTTGGGAAGTGAACCAGTGGATGGGAGATCTTTGTCTCTTTGCCCCTGAAATTAATGAATTAAATTATTAAGTTTATTAAACATTTTAAATCGCATGGCTCTGCTCTTGTGAGTTTCAGGTGTCATGCCTTGTGCCCTGTCATCTGTTTATTTGGTTCACCTTCCTATCCTTAGTGTAGTGCCGGAGACACAGCAGTGGCTCAGCACATGGCTGCTGAGTAAAGCGTTTCGTTTCTGCATTTCCCATTCCTTTTTCGTTCCAGGTGATGTGCTCTATGAACTCCTTCAGCATATCCTGAAGCAGAGGAAACCCCGGATTCTTTTCTCACCATTCTTCCACCCTGGGAACTCTATCCACACGCAGCCAGAGGTCCTGCTGCACCAGAACCATGAAGAAGGTACTGGAGGAGGCTTCTCTCGCCTTGCTTAAGGTTTAGCTAAAACCAGAAGGCTTAGTTGTGAATTTGATAAGCTGCTCTAATTCATGTAAATTCATTTTTCATTCAACTACAGTCAGTATAGCGAATGTTTGCAATATCTAAGGCATCATGGGACATGCCAAAATGAATAAGACTCTTGGTTCTTGAAGCTCACAGTCTAAGTGAAGGGATGAGATGAATCTGGACAGAAGCATAAAAGCATCCCCCTAATGGTAGGTCCCATAAAGAGGTAGTGGCAGGAGCGATTACATCCAGATACAGGAAGCAGGGTCAGCTTCGTAAAGGAAGAGTGTCTGAGGGTTCCTGGAAGATCCTGCAGGATTCTGATAAGCAGGCACATTAGCTTTTTTTCTTTACTACAATGAAATACCTAAGAGAAGCTACTTAGTAATAAAGGGGCTTTATTTTGACTCTCAGTTTTGGAGGACCACAGTCTAAGGTCAGACAGGCCCCTCTGGTTCAGCCATCTGGTGAGGTCAGAAATGGCAATGGAAATGGCAGAGATCACAAAGTAAGCCAGGAAGCCGAGAATAACTGGGTCCCGCTCAGCTTTTCTAAGCAGCCCTCTCCTGAGCATTACCTCCCAGTGGCACACTCCCAGTGCCCTAAGGACTTCTCCCTACCAAAGACCATAACTGGATTAAATGTCCACCCTCACAGTGCCATGGGAGTTTAAATGCCTACATGAATTCCAGAGCCAAATCTTACTCAAACCATAGCTGTAGCAAGGAAGTGAAGAACGTTCCAAGCAGAGAAAAATGACACGAGGGTAGAGTAAAGCCTCGGAATAGAGAATAGACTTGGACTGTAGAACTGAGCTTCCTCCTCCCCACCCTTTTGGTATGAAGAATCTCAGACATAGCCCAAATGGGATCAGATAATCAACCTCTGAGAGCCATCACCTGCCTCAAGAGTGATCAGCGTTTTACTAGTGCAGAGCTAGACCAGGGAGGTTAGATTGGAACCAGAGTGTGGAGAACTTGGATGCACTCACTGTACATCGTTCCAAAGCAGGTGTTTGGGTGCAGAAAGAGGGCCTAAGGTTCTTAATTTGAGCCGCATTCTATTGATCCCCTGAGTATGCAGTAGCATTCAGGGCTGAGTCCTGCCTCAGTGAGGTCCATCACGCCCATGGTTGCTGCCCAGCATTGCTCGCACAGCAGTACGTACACACGCAGTAGGGCTTTTCCACACGTACTTGCCTTAGAACAGACAACTCGGGGCCTAAAACCCCCTGGCCCTTTGGGACATTTCCTTAAATTACTTGATCATCCCCAAGAATGGGGGATTTGTGTTTTATTATTTGCCAATTAAAAAATGATAACTTTTTTGTGTTCTTAATTAACACTTCCCAGAAGAGAGCCTGACTCCAGGCGAGCAAGGGACACCACCTCCTGTGCAGGCGTTTCACAGCAGGTCCTCTCCCTTCCTTGATAGAGAACAAACAAGCATTGCTTGCACGAGCCCTGCCTCTTTCTCTCATCCTTTCCTCCCTGGCTTTACCCTTGCTAAATTTAGCAGCTACCCCCACCTTGTACATTTCCGACTTGCATAATAGCCAACAGCCACTATCAGAGGAGGTGGGTTTACTGAAGCTTGACATTAAGGCAAGAAATATATTACCTTGCCTGCCCCTTCAGTTATAAAGAGTATGTGATTTTTTTTTCTCTCTCTCTCTCACTAGGGGGGGAAAAAATCCTACTTGGAATTTCTGTCCCCAGAAATTCTGTGTGATTGGAGGCCATGGTCTCACCACATTACATAGACCCTCCCTCCACGGCCTGATTTGACTCATAAGTAGGTGTGTTTGTTGTTGTTCTCATTGCAGGAGCTCATCAAGAGAAAGCTAGCTTATTCTGAGAGCTGCTCTCAAACCAAATAAATACAGATGTGCCAAGGCATATGCTGTAATGAGCTGTGCTCTCAAGCGTTACGGTGTCAGTAGTGGTGAGCCCCGTAGGTAAGAGAATGAAGCTAATGAGGCCAAGGTCAAGGGCTTCATCGCTCTGTGCACCAGTTAACTCTGCTTCAGACCCAGCTCTTGAAAGTGCCTGGTACGTTGCCAGAGACCACTCTTTAAAGCTGACAGCCAGGAAGCAAGATCTGAGCGTACAAGCCCTGCCCCATTGTCTGTTCAGACGCCCTGCAGGCTCCAGATGGACAGGGAGGCACCGTGAGAAGGGAAGTGTGGGTGTCTATCAGGTGGTATCTAATAGGATCCCCTTTAAAGGCTGGGATCTGCCATCCAAGGCACACAGGAGGTAAGAAGAAGGCGCCCTTTCTCCCAGAATTTGAGACAGCACGTGTGTCCTTAATGATAAGGAGACCATTTAGTAAAGAGGTGATTGGATCAGTTGAAGTTCCCCACCTCAGCCACCTCCTCCCACTTACCCTTCTATACTGAAAAGAAAAAAACGCCCCCCCAAATGAACTACCTCTGCAGTGAGCGCAGTTGTATCCCACTGTGGAGAGTAATGGGATGATGTGGGCATATGTGAACACACAGAAAAATGAAGTACTCATAAAAGAGTCTGTAAAGTGAAATTGCACCTAGCAAATATGACTTCCTGGGATTTCCTTTACAGAATTAGGGACACAGTAGTATGTAAAAGTGTGTTGGCCCAGGACTACTCATGTTACTACTAACATATATGAACATACATGTAAATGGCAGAATGGAAGGAGCACAGGGCCAATCCAGAGAGGGCCAGCTGACTCGGGAGCAGCCTTGCACAGCAGGGTGTGCAGAGGAAGGTGGAAAGCCGTCCTGTGACTCCACCCCATCACAGCCACCAGCATCAGCAGTTCAGACACTAATAATTTCACAGTAGGAATTGATGCCACAATACAGATGTGTGCTGTTTAATCCAGCAGCACTTCCTCCTGACCACACTGGAATCTCCCCTCCTTACCAGCAGCTGGGAGGCGTTGCCAGGAGCTAGGGAACTAGTGGAAGCTCAGGGCTTCCCCTCCGCCCTACGGGAAAGGATGGCCACACCAGCTCCACCCTTTATTCTGTAAGTGCTCGTTATCTCTGTCCTGTACTCTAGTCTGAAATCCCACCCTGCCTAGGGCAAGGTAGTCCTCCGATTACCACCTTCATCCAGGAAAACCAGCATTTCCACTCTCTTCCCTTACCTATTAGTTGTGGGAAAGGAGGGTGATGTTATATAATTAGGTTAACCTTATAATTTTTCAGCCAGAGACACTGATGATAGCGACGCAGGGCTCCATTGGTAACTAAGCCAGGACAACAGCCATAAACCAGAACTATCCCACACAAACTGGGATGTCTCTGTGTTTATAGAAGTTTTTGAAGGATGGCATCTGTGAGTCAGGGAATCAGGTTCCAATCTTGCATTCTGCCCAAACAAGTCCTGAGGGCTAAGTGTCTCTTCTCCCTGGCTCTCAGTTTCCCCAGTCGAAGAAGGGGGTGTTACGCAAAATATGTCTCAGATCTCGCCCAACTTTAAAACACGAACATTAGACTCAAGCTTTCTGAGTCTCTCGGGGGCTATGAAGGTGAATAAGACGCACCCTCCACCTCCTAGATGTTGGGCACCTAAAGTCCAGAAACTCCTAACAGTGTCCTCCCGCGTGGTCTTGTCACAGTCAAAATCCTTGTGTCCTCATTTGTCTCACAATATCAGAACTCCTGATATTGTTGCCCTTAGTCAGCCCAAAGGGGGCGTCACTCATTTATTTCATGATAAAAAGCTCAGTTTAAGCAGATTCCTTTTGTTTGATGGTTATGACTCATTTTATCTGCATGGTGGTAGGTGGTAGGTAGGTAAATTAGAGAAGAGACAAAATAAATAGTGATCCGACTTCTTTTCACAAAAACCCAGAGACAAAACAGCTTTGTAAGTTTCAGACCAGCAAGCAATGATAAGATCAGTTTTGTCACATGCACTTGTAATGACAACCTCTTTTGATGCCTTAAGTTCCAAAATAAATTACTGATTTTAGCTCTTTTCTGAAGAAAGACTTTGTCCCCAAAACATACTCAGTTGCCACTGATCCTTTGGTGTTGGTACTGCTTGAGTAGTGATTCCTTAAAAGCTGCTTGGGCCATGTGAAATAAGCCACAGGTGGGGACTGAAGTCTCCAAATGGACCCAGCTCAGCCCGATCACCTCTGCAGGCCTGGACTTGCATCTAGTCTACAGGGAGAAGAACAAGATCCATGTTTCTCAAATTCTCACATTTCATTGCTTGCTGGGGGCACCCTCCTGTAATTTCTTTCTTGTTTTAATTTTATTTGAGAGACTAACTCCCCAGACACCAGCAATGGCCAGGAGTAGGTTGGGCCAAAGCCAGGAGCCAGGAACTCAATCCAAGTCTCTCATTTGGGTGAGAAGAACCCAGTTACTGGAGCCATCATCACCTGCTGCCTCCCAGGGTCTACATCAGTAGGAATTTAGAATCAGGAACTGGAGCCAAGAACTCTAATACAGGACATGGGTTTCCCAACCAGCATCTTAACAGCTAGACCAAATGCCTGCTGCTCTCCTACAATTTCAGTTCTTCAATTCCACCCTTTCCTGTGCCCCATCGAAGGGACTATACGAGGTCATTTTTAATCATTTTTTAGTACCTGTTACTTTTTTAAATTTATTTTTAAAGATTTATTGATTCAAAAGGCAAAGTGATAAATAGAGGAAGATACAGAGAGAAAAAGATCTTGCATGTATTGATCGACTCCTCAAGTGGCCCCAAGGGCTGGCTGGACCAGGCCAAAACCAGGATCCTGAAATTCCACATGGATCTTGCACACATGCGGCAGGGTCCCAGCCACTTGGGTCATCATCCACTGCTTTCCCAGGTGCAATAGCATGGAGCTGGATCAGAAGCCGAGTAGCTGGCATGAACTGGCATTTCAACCTGGGATGCCAGTATCACAAGCAGTGACTTAACCCACTGTGCTTCAATGCTGGCCCCCGTTTTTAATCATTTTAA